TTAGTTCTGTGCTTTAACCCGTTGCGCCACCAAGGAGGGCCACAGTCCCTATTTTTATGAAGTTTATTGTTTTGAAAGCTATGAGTTAAGTTCTGAGACTTAAAAATTTCTAGATTCACAGTTCTTCTATAGTTGTTTACTTTCTCTTCAAAAATGAAAAATGCTGGATTTGTTCAGACTTGGACAGAATATCACTATTTCAATTTTCTTTCTATGTGCTTATTCAAATCATTCCCCATTAAAAATAATAAATTATGGCCCTTGCCGGTGGTGCAGCAGGTTAGGATGCAGCACTGCAAGCTAGCCATAGCCTATTCAGTGCAAGTTCTATCCCCTGTAGCATGGCAAACCTCTCCTGACCAGCCCACTGCCCCCGCCTCAGCAGCCTACTTTGTCAAGCTGCCTGTTTCTGCTCCCCACTCTGTATCTGGTGAAGCCTCTCACTGCCCTTGCACCTCTGGCTTGTACCCTAGTTCTGCATGAATAAATAAATCTTTTTAAAAAAAAAAAAAAAGATTATGGTTTACATGTTTTTTCCAGGTTAGCTGTGTTTTCTGTTTTATTGAATTTGGCTGATATAAAATTAGATCTTTATTCTTTGTTAATATGCATTTCCTTGATTGCTGATGATATCAAGCCACTTGTTTATTAGCCATTTATATTCCTTCTTTTTGTCATGTAGCTTAAAGAAGACATTAATCATAGACAAAAAAGATTAGTATTTCTTAAGACCTTAATATTCAGGAAGAAATCATTAAGAGTGAAAAGATAAGTGTGAGAGACACATACAAATAACAGAGGACTTGCATCCAGAATTCCTGCAGAACATTTAATTCTAATTCACTTTTTGGGCTCCCTAATAGATATACCACATTAGGTGAGCCATGTTTTCTAAGTTTCTTGAGGCCACCAAAGGAAAACTGATGTGTTAAGTATGTTTCCAGGACTTCCTAAAACATAGTAAATTTGACTTCTAAAATATCCCTTACTCATTAAGATTGTTTTTGAGATTTTTTTTTTTTTTTT